ATTTAACTTTTACTGTTCCTTATTTGTGAGCCGAAATGGCGCTGATATATTCATTCAACAATTATATCCATATATTTCTTAAAAGGGGTCAAAGTTATTCTTAAGCCCCCTGCTCTTGCAACTCTGACGATATCTGCCCTGAAATATTTGATTAGTTTAATAAACAAAAACCCAGTGTAAATTATGTCAAAAAGATCTCTTTCCGCCACGTAAAAACAATCTCCAATGAAAAATAAGAACAAAGCCTCCGATGGGACCCCTCCTTGTGATGACGAAAACGGGAAACGTTTAATGGACTACGATTTGAGCGCATGCACCTAGAATGTCCGGCATCTTAATGGGGAAGGTGCCTCTGCCCAGCTGGTTGGTGTTCTCGTAAGGACAAAAGCTGACATAACCACTATCCAAGAAATGTGTTGGACGGGGCAAGGCAAACAATTTCTGGGGAATTGCGACGCCTACTATAGCAGCCATGTAAAAGGGCTGAAATTCGGTGTTAGATTTGTGGTGGGAGACTCCGTCTCGGAGTTCTGTCATTCAACCCTGTGGACGAGCGTCTCGCAACAATCCGAGATTATTCTGCGCCCATGCCCGACGGAAGAGAAGAACAAGGCGGAATGGATTTTTGGCGCCACTGTCGGAAAATTCAACCTCCACATGGTACTAGGTTCACGTACAAAAAGATCCATCAAACTACTTGGCTGCCTCCAGATCGAAAAACAAAAAGCCAAGGCGATCATGTTGTGACAGACGGAAGGCACGCTTCCAGTGTTTTAGACGTACATACACTCTGAGGCCCAAACATCGACTCGGACCATTTTGTTGTTGCAGCCAAGATACGCCACTGCCTCTGTGCAGCAAGAAATGTGCGCCAAAAATGCAAGAAGGCTTAATGTTGTAAAGCTGCAGTTACAACAGAGTATTCGCTACTCGACTATCGGACCTGATCTCAGAGAGCACTCTTCAACAAACCGACATATGCCAGCAGTGAAATCACATTTCCCGTTCATTAAGTACCGCCGCTGAAGAAATAATCGAATTTTAGCTAGCCTGAAAGAACAACTGATAAGTTAAGCGACTTACGGAAGCTTTCAAGATCAGAGCGAACTCCTGTAAAAATAACCATGGCGACCTGGTAACCAATGTCCACTTTTCCACCCTACTGAATGGCAGCAGCAGTGAAGGTAGTGGAGAAGACCAACCTGAGTGGATGATGGTGGAGTCGATGTTCCACTCCAAAACAACACATCTGTTGGAGCTGATGGCCTGCCAGCCGAGCTATTCAAGTATGGCGGCGAGGAGCTGATAAGAAACATGCATCAACTCATATGCAATATATGGGCAGATGAATGAATGCTCGATGACTAGAATTAAGTGTGCTCTGAACAATCCACAATAAAGGCGATGCCGCCATAAGTTCCAACTATGGAGCGTATTGTGTGCCCACCATCAACGAATCGCTTGGGCCTTATCAATATGGATTTATACTTGGCAAATCCGCCATATACCAGATATTCGTGTGATTTATTTGATCCGATGTTGGAGAAGATACTAACAGCCGCAGAACTGATGACGACATCGATATCATCGGTAACAAAAACCGCGAAGCCTACTGCCTACTCCAAGTTGAATAAGGAAGCAAAGCGAGGACAAGACGAAGTATCTCCTATCATCAAGCAAACGATGAGCGCATTCGAGCCCTGGCAATCACTTCAGTTGATAAATATAATTTCAGGAAATAAAGAGAATTTCGTTTACTCGGCGGGAGACCCCCCAAGTCGATGGAATGAGAAGTGGAGAAGGACTTGGCTTTATTTTGGATTTCCAATTGGCGTCAGTTGGCAGAGAAGAAAAACAAGTGGGTTGCTTTGTTGAACTCGTCCAAAAGCGCCAAATAAGATGAAAATCTTATGTTAACTTATCGTTATTCTATACACACATACATATATTCTCTTTATCTCTTGTCCAAAAATGTCTACCGGGATTAGTCCGGCGATTAAAGAGGACACTTCGTCACAAGCGTACCTAAGCGATGTACAGTTTTTTATTTCATTTTACCTTTATTGCTTCGGCCCAAATCAGAGTAGCATATTTAAAGTAAAACTAAGCTTAGCTCCCTGCTATAAAGGATTTTTCATGTATGTTTAGACCACCAGGTAGACAGGTATGCTCGAACACTCGAAGCCTTTTTGAAAGCACACCCGAGGTGGGTCTTAAAATTTTCCAGACTATCAATCTTAACGTCCAGACTTAATTTCGAGCTTGTTTGGATGTGGTGGATACGGAGCCAACACTTAATCTTATTGTTTTTTGATCCACCTAAACTCCTAGACGTTAACCACTTTTTTATGCTTTTTATAGTCTCGCTAGCTTTACTCAATCTCCTGGAAATATTTCACTACAACAACTAAGACGAAATCGGCTGCGAATCCAATTATTTTTGTACGAGGCCAGCATACCGATAGGCAGGATGCCGTCATATATTAGATTTCAAAGGAGCGGTCCGAGAACAGATCCATGAGGCTCACCTGGCAGCATATATGTACATACGTATGTAGTAGGTATGTATATATTTACCTATGTATGCAAATCCATATGAAAGGCAGAGTAGAAAGAAGTCATTCGTTTCGTGCTATTTCAGCTCACTTTTTTAAATGGCTATTTGCATTCTTTTCGCAATAAATAAAGCCATCAAAGGTGAAAAATGAATTGCAAATATTAAATACACCATATGAAAAGTAAAAAAAAAAACATATGTATGTATGCACATTATACTGCATCACCAAAAAAATTTGCGGGTTTTCCACCGGGATTAAAAAACTTATTATATTTGAAGACGTCCAGCAAAATATTTCGGAAAAATATTAAGGTGAGGTGAACCGATTTGAAAATACCTCCAAAAATTGAGTTTTTTATGAATTAAAAAAATTTCTTAAAGAACTTTTTGGAAAAAATCCCCTCAGATGACAAAACAGATTAAGCTTAAAAATCTGCATAAAAATATTTAAAAATCTTTTCAACGGAATCGTAATAATGAGATTTTTGATGATGTTTTTTACTTTTTTCAAAAATTCATTTACGAAAAACTTGAATAAAACTATGTATTCTGATTTAGACTTACGGGGTCTCAATAGAACGGTATTTTCCCATTCTTTTCGTTTCTGTCCAAAAAAACTCGTCCACGTACCATTTTTTTTTCAAATACAAACACATCTTTATTCAACTTGGAATGACGCTGGTACATCCTATCTTTCTCTTTCATCATTTGAATGAGTTTATTAGCAAAGAATTAAAAAGGGTGACAAAATACCTTTTCAATGATACCTCCCAAGTCTAAATCGGAATATTGTAGGCTCAGTTATTCAAGCTTTTCTTATACCAATCCTTGAAAAAAGTTAAAAAAACAGCATTATTACTATTCCGTTGAAAATTAAAAAAAAAAAAATTTTTTTAATATTTTTATGAAAATTTTTTAAACTTACACCCCTATTGCGAATGTCGACTGGCAGTAGATAAACGACTATTAAGCGATTATCGATGCTATTGCGAGTGTCGCTTAGTCGCTCAATTAGCGACTGTGAATACTTTTTAATCGCTCATCCTTCTATTGCTGTTTTTTAGTAGTTGGAGTTTGCGTTTATAAAATTTACATAAGAAAGTGGTACTATAATGGATAAAAAGTAAGTCAATTGAACTGGAAGTTGTAAAAAATTGTGAAATATACATATGCAAGTATGTGTCTGAATTACAGATCAAAAATTATAAGCAACAAAAGGCAACTTGCGCGGTTGTTCGTACTGATGCAGGAGAGTGAAGACATAGGCAAAGGAATTTCCGGAAAGAGAAGGGGAGGAAGCTCCGCTTCTATTGGAAAAGATACATATACAATATTTCTTGTGCATATAACTCCGGCTACGCCATCCACAGTGTTTTTGCGCAGAGCCAACATCAAAAGTTTATACAAAAAAACTGCATAATTTATTAATTGACTAGTGCTCGGAAATTTGAAATCTTTATTTTAAATTAAAGTTGAATTCTTTCAATACACTTGTTATGTTGTTATGTTAAAGTTTTTAAACTCGGGTCACGCGTTTGGACACAAAAACCCAACATCATTGTACAAAAAACTTAACCGTACCGTATTTCTTAAACTTCCATAAAGTTTATTAATGAGGAAAACAGCTTTTCCTGCAAATCATGTAAAGCCTAAAAACTGTGAAGCATCGGGAACGCAACTTCTATTCATAAAACTCACACATGTACATACACCTTCCAAGTCCAAGGGATCCGACGAATCTCGCAATTCCCTCCTTGCTTTAGCTAACTCTACTAATCTATTAGCTTCGGCATCATCTTCTTCATCACTAAACCATATTTCAACTGTGTCCATTTCTTTAATTTTATAATAAAAGCAATTATTTTAAAAATGATGTAAATAAAACACTCAAGAAACAAATGTAAACAAACAATTCTATCGACCATTCACAATAGTACAAATTTTTATCGATCAAGTTACACAATAGCAAAATAAAAGATGATCGACTCGATCGACAAATTTCTATTCTACTGCCAGTCGACACTCGCAATAGGGGCCTTAAACTGTTTTCTCATTTAAGGGAATTTGTTTCAATAAAATATTCAAGAAACTATTTTTATTCATGAAAACCTCCATTTTTTGTATTTCAAATCGGTACAGCTCGCGTAAATCTTAATATTTTTCCGAAATATTTTGGTGGAAACACAGTATCGATTTTTTTTTTGTATGGGGAGTGATGCTGTCTATTGTACATATGTACGCACACACATGCAAGTCGAATATTAAAATGCATTCGTAGCCGTCGAAAAAATCTGAGCTTCAATGCTCAATGTACGCAGCCATTTACATACATACGCATGTATACATGTATATATGTATGTATGTGTGAATATGCACATGAATTTATATCATTTTAAGTGACTTTTGTGAAAACATCCGCGCATACGCTATGCGCCAGCAGTAAGGGTGGGTAACTCTGTAAATTTTCGTGTGCTGACTCAGTAACTCCAACTCACTTTAATGAGTCAGCACAGTGAGCTGGCACAAGTGTGCTATCGCACAATTGGTATGTACATCGAAATTATTGATGATGTTAGTAATCGAAATCGATTTAGAAATGGTTATCTTTAGCTTCTGTTCGTAGCTGGCCGGAAAAATTTTACAAAGCTGATTTCAACTGGTGAGTTCATTTGCAAAATAATTCCCTACTTAGTTTTGCTTGAGAGTTGTCACATAAGAATCTGTTAAATGGGCTATGCATGTAAGAGGTTACCCAACGCACAGCACTTCACATGTAGAATTCTGTTTGGTTTTGATTTTTACGTAAAAATGGTATAGCAGTGCAAGTATGCATAACTTGGCTATTCGCCTTGCTTCTTTTTAAATTTGGTAGTCGTATATTCAATTGATGGTTAGTCTAGTGATGCCATCTATTATGGTACTCTTTGGAAGATCGTATTAGGTTCATTCCTTATCTTTTTGGACTAAAATCTGAAAAGCGTCAAAATGCCAGAGCGTAAGCAAAATGCGCTCACTAAAAGAGAGTAACAGGAAAAGTAAAGGAACGCAAAAGAATGGCAACAACAAAGCTAACGTCAAATAAGAACAGAAATGTATATACAAAACACATTCACACAAGCACAAGCACAATAAACACTTGCTATATCAATTATTTTTTGCCTCCTTCCAATTTCAATTCATTTCTTTTACTTTTTAGATTATTCACACTTTTTGCGTATTCTTTAATTTCCGTTAATTTAAATTCAGTTGAGTTTGACACTTTTCAGGATTTTGCCAGAAAAAATTCTTCTGACTAAATCTGACTACTTCGGACTGATGAGAGTCACTCTCACTGGGCGTTGCTCTCTCATTTTTGCTGTCATTTCCGAGTTAAGGAACGCTTTTTGGACTAAATCTGACTACTTCGGACTTTTTCTGACTATTTCTGGGAGATAAGGAACGCGCATATTGTGTGAATGTGTGAGCTCATCAATTGAGTTACCACATCGACACAGTTCTAAACAATGCAAGCCGCACCGAGCTATGCAAGTGTCAGCACATCAACTGAGTTACCATATCGACTCTGTAGCACACTGAGCTATACATTGTCAGCACATAAACTGAGTTACTGAGTTACAAATTTTTTCAGAGGTGAGTCTGAGCGTGCGGCACAGTTCTAAGAGTCAGCACAGTAACTCAGCACAGTGCTGAGTTACCCAGCTCTAGCCAGCAGTTGATTCCGCATTCGTCGACGCGGACGTTCGCGAGTCCTTTGGCTCAACCGAAAGGTGTTCAAGCGAAAGATGCTATTAACGAAATATTCATATTTGTGTTTGTTCAATAATTTTTTTACAACATTTAAGTGGGCTAATTAAAAAATATAAATGCATGATGTCGTCCGATATATGTACATATGTATGTACATATGTGCAAATACATGTATGAATGTACATACATACATATATATGCCTGCATTTGCCACCGATGATGTGAAAAAGGGTTTAATTAACAATACATAAAATCGCTTAAATGAAAAAGTGCGTTTAAAGCGCACCTTTGGCTACAACAAACTAAAAGCCTTAATAAATATACATATAAAAGCACATGCGCATGCACACACATACCAACCATTGCATATTAAATTTCAGCAAAGCCTACCCTTGATGTCGAAAAAATTCCACAAATTAAATATAAATCAACTTTTAATAGATTGCAAATATTTGTAAATTTTTACATGAACTATTAACGTTGACAAATAACCAAGGCACACAAACAAATACCCCACAAGTACAACAAGAGCTATATACATAACTATATATGTACATACATACATTAATACATGCAACAGCAGCGCAAAGGCAGCAATGTGAAATGGGAAAAAGGATATTTTACCACCACCAAACAATCACCAGTAAACACCCTTACATATAACCATTCATCCAATGGGCATCGAGATTTCACCATTCATTGTCACTGTGTGCTGCTCCGCTCTGCGCATTGTGTCTTTATTTGGCCAACAAACCATTCGGAAGCGAAAAACCAAAATACGAAAAAAAGAAATGTCAAATAGATAGGCAAACAACATGGAAATTCGATAGGACGGACGCCATGTCAACATTACCAAAAAGCAAATGCAAATGTAAACTCAAACGAAGATATCCAGCCGACAAAAAATTGTGGAATGGATAACTTTTTTTTATGGCTTTTGGGCCATCCAAACTGCCTTGCGATTACATCTCAGCTCGTAAGATTTCAGAGAACACCTCAAGCGGAGGCAAGAACAAATTGGCATACGAACAAATTTATGAATGTTTACCTACAGCCAGCTGCTTTCTTCGTTATCGCTTGTTGCCACTGCGAATATTTTCTTCAACTGCGTAAACAAAGGCTACTGTGTGAGAGCTCAGAGGGCTCAGAGTTTTGTCATTAGTCATGCAAGACTATTCGGTTTTACGGTGTTCGCCTTGTTTCCGCTGAGCAGTGTTTGTTGTTTTGGGCGTTTTGTAGAAACAAGAATAGGTTTTTTTTTAGATTTTTAGTAATAAATTTTAAGTAGCGCTTTTGCTGTTTCTGCATACATATGTAAATATTTAAGGAAACTATATCTGCGTATATAGCGGTGGGTTTGGGACCCGCCACATAAAACCAGTCTCGAATGAAAAAAAGACACACAAAGGCTCGGATGAGAACCCCCTTATGATGACGACCACGGCAAACGCTTAAAGGACGGTAAAAGCTTAAAGGAAGGTGCAAGGCAAGACAAAAAATGTCTGGGGCCTTGCGGCGGCTACTACAGCTGCCATGTAAAGGAGCGCAAATTCGGTGTTGGATTTGTGGTGGAAGAGAGACTCCGTCGCCGAGTACTGCCGTTCACCCCGGTGGACGAACGTCTCGGAACAATCCGCATACAAGGAAGATTCTTCAACATCTCGCTGATTTGCGACCATGCACCTACCGGAGGATAAGGATGAAGTGTCTAAGGATAGCCTCTATGAACGCTTGGAGCGCACATAACTACGGTCGCTGCTTGGCGACTTTAACGCCAGGTTGAGCAAGGAAGGGATTTTTGAACCACCGTTGGAAAATTCAGCCTGCACGACAAAACGTCTGACATCGGACTGATGCTAATCGGCTTCACCGGGGCCCGAAAAATGTTTCTATGCAGTACTAAGTTCATGCATAAAAATATCCATCAAACTACTTGGCTGCCTCCAGATCGAGAAACGAGGAACCAAATTGACCATATTGTGATAGACGGATAGCATGCTTTCAGTGTTTTACACGTACGTACACTACGAGGGCTAAACATCGACTCGGATCACTTCCTTGTTGCAGCCAAGATACGTACCCGCCTCTGTCCAGCAAAAAATGTGCAGCCAAAAAAGCAAGGAAAGCTTAACGTTGAAAAGCTGCAGTCACAACAGACGGCCAATGCATTCGCTACTCGACTCTCACACCTGCTCTCAGAGAGCACTCTTCAACCAGCCGACACATGCGAGCGGGGGAACCATAATTAACGTTCATTAAGTTCCGCCGCCGAATATGTAGTCGGATTTCAGCGAACCCGAAAGAACAGCTGGTACCATGAGGAGTATCAGGAAGCTTTAGAAAAAAAGATTCCGCCTATAGGGCCACGCTGCGATGAGGTGCAACTCGAGCTATGTTGGATCGTTACAGGCAACTGAAGAGGGGAGCGAGACGTATTTGCCGCTAGTGGCTGCGGTCCAGAACATACTTAAATTGTGGACGATACACTTTTCCACCCTACTTAAGGCTAGCAGCATTTAAAGCTGTGGAGAAGACCTCGAGCCCCCAGTCGATGATGACGGAGTAGATGTTGCACCAACTGACTATTACAAGGTAGGAATAGGAATAGCGAGCTTGAAAAACAACAAAGCTGCTGAAGCTGAGAGCCTGCCAGATGAGCTTTTCAACTACGGCGGCGAGGGGTTGATAAGGTGCATGCATCAATTCTTATGCAGAATATGGTTAGATGAACGCATGCCCGACGACTGGAATTTAAGTGTGCTCTGTCCAATCCACAAGAAAGGCGCCATTCGCGCCAACTACCGCGGAATCAGCCTTCTAAGCATAGGTTATAAGGTCTTATCGAGTGTATTGTGTGAAAGATTGAAGCCCAACGTCAATGAACTGATTGGTGTGATCAGTGTGGCTTTGGACCTGGAAAATCCGTCATAGACCAGGTATTCACAATACGCCAAATCTAGGAAAAGACCCGAGAGAAAAGGGTTGACACTAACCACCTATTTGTCGATTTCAAAGCCGCTTTCGATAGCACTATAGCGGTTTCAGACAGGGCGAATAGAAAAAATATTAGAGTGATGGGCAAAATTATATTTACTAAATACGAATTACTAAGTGCAAAAGTACTTCTTAGTAATTATTAGTAGTTATGATTTAATTAAATACTAAATACTTGCTACTTAGTCAGTATAAACATAAAGAAATTGATAATTTTTGTTACTATTGCAGAATTCTCGGGACTACTCGAGATATTCGGCCCTATTTCGGATTTTCGAAATTACTCCGAGATTTTGAGGATTTCGCGATTCCTGATATTTCGAGATTTTCGGGACTATATCGGTATTTTGCTCGTAAACTACGGCCTTTTTTGGTATGTAAAAGGCCTTCACAACATAACATAACCTAACTCATTTAGCATTGTGGAAACGTGTTCCATGCAAGGAACGAACTCTGGACATCAGTAATCACCTTGCGCGTAAAGGGATAGTTCTAGTTCAATTTCGTTTCATTGCAAAAACAGTAAATTATGATGCAGGCAATACAAATCCTAATGAGATTTGCATATTTAGCTAAATACCTAGGATCATATGTGTGAATTGGCTTACATGCTTACATACATACAAGTACATACATATGTACGAAATATACATAAATTGTATATCCTACTTCCTTTTTTCTGCCCTTTCATTATTTCCACTTGCCAAGCATATAAATTTGAATGAATCACTGCATTTGTAGATCTTAGTCTTTGCTTCTTCTATTACTTCTTAGAAATATGTAAATTTATCTAATGTATATGTTTAAGCATGTACTATTGATAAGAAAATTACTATGAAAAGTGAGATACGTTTAGCATGGCCATAACGAAAGGACATTGTCATTTGTATGGATGCAAAATATTGTGTCTTTTTTCAATTCCGCATGTACAAACGTACATATGTATAACGTATGTATATAACTCCATGTATTCATGCTTTTGTGCAAAGTGAAATACAAACCAATATTCGAAAAGTTTTCAGCGCATGGCTCTGTACATATTCATATAGATGTATGCCAATTCAACGAAAAAAAAAAACAAATGCTGCCTTTTAAAATATAGAAACATATCCCAGCAAAAAACACGATTACCACAGAAACGAAAGTGGAAACGAGCTAGGCGATGGGAATCGCTTATCCTTTCGCTTCAAGAAGGCATTATTTTAACATGGGTATGTCATTGGCCGTAAGCTCTTACCCGCAGCATTACCTTCGAACATAGAATGCCTTACAGAGAAACTAATGTAGAATGCCTAGATAAGTACATACTTATTTATTTATGTGTATTAAATTGAAATCAGAAAATGTCTTAAAAGATTAAAATTAATTAAAATTTTTATAAATCAGTTTTTATACATATGTACATAGATACTATGTACTTAGGTATATCGATTTTACTTAAAAATTGGTATGTACATACATGCAAATTTAATTAAGCTTAAAATTGTACTTCCTCATTCTTGTACTTCAATTCATTGACTGACTTCAACTTCGCTGCAAATTGAACAAAACAAAACATGATTTTTATGCGAGACAAATTTCCACAGAAAGTAACGGTAGAAAAAGAATTTTTGGATATTCATTCTATTTTTCAGCTGACTACGATGCAGCATTCTACTTTGCATTCCCCGAAATGAAGCAAAGAAGCGAAATAAAAAAATATTGTAGGACATTCTACTTTGCATTCCCTGAAATGAAGCAAAGAAGCGAAACAAATAAAATATTGTAGGACATTCTATTTTGCATTCCCCGAAGTGAAGCAAAGAAGCGAATTAAAAAAAATATTATAGGACATTCTACTTTGCATTACTGGCAATGTCTAAAAGCAGCGAAAAAATTCGAAGGCATTATAACGCTATGCCTTCTAGAACACGTTACCACTGAAAGCGATTACCGATTTTTTGCTGGGATGCATCCATCCATG